TGTATTGTTATAATAATTCTACTATAATATTATAATATATACTATAATATACTATAATATATACTATAATATTATAATTTTATAATATTTTTATAAATACTATAATATATACTGTAATATATATACTATAATATTATAAATTTATAATTTTAATATTATAATTTTATAATATATATATTATGATATAATAATATATACTAGAATATTATAATTTTATAATATATATATATTATAATATTATAATATATACTGTAATATTATAATTTTATAGTATTTTTATAGTATTTTTATAATATATACTATAATATTATAATTTTATAGTATTTATAGTATTTTAATATATATTATAATAATATAATTACATTATAATATTATAATATATATAATTATATTGTAATGTTATAATATATATAATTATATTGTAATATTATAATATATATAATTATAATTAATAATATTATAACATATACAATTATAATTAATAGTATTATAATATATGTAATTATAATTAATAATATTATAATATATGTAATTATAATTAATAATATTATAATATATATAATTATAATTAATAATATTACAATGTTATAATTAATAATTAATAATATAACTAATAGTGCACTTAATCTGATTTGTATATTTCACAGAAAGACCGTTTAAATCTCTAAACATAGATTGCCATAATCACACGTAAAAGAATTCCTAGCAAAGATTACAAGGGCTGGTCAATTTTGAGGCAAATCTGATTCATCGGCACTTAATTTGCTTTCCTCTTCGAGAGAACGAGAGAAATTACATAAAACGCAGGGCGTGCCAATTGCTTATTTACAATTGCCGATTGCGAGATAAATGGTGTTCCACCTTGAATCGATACCGAAACCGGAAACGGAATAAAAATTCCGTTTGACTCGAGTTTCATTGTACGAAGAGAGAGAAAGAGAGAGAGAGAGAGAGAGAGAGAGAGAGAGAGAGAGAGAGAGTGTGTGTGTGTGTGTTAAAGAGCATCGTCGGAAAAAAAGCCAAAGGGGTGGAGGTAGAGGAAGATGAGCAGACAGGCTGGCCACGGTGACGGAAAAAATTACGCGACCGCTTTGAAGCGGAGCCATCGTTATCCGGACAGTAGCGGGCCATAATTTAATGGCAGCCGATGAACGTCGCTAATAGGTAGTTTCTTTTTTGTCCGGGGCGGGGGGGGGGGGGGCGAGGACAGGCGTCGCGCGCGCCGGAAGAGAATCAATTACGAGCTTTTAGTCTCGTTAGTTCGCGCGTCGAGAGGTGACACGGCGACGTGTCATCTTTCCTTTTAAAGATAGAAAGACTATTAATAAATGTCACGCGTAGATGAAGTCGTCGTTTCCCCTCACCCGTCTAGCGAACGATCAGCTAGATTCTCGCGAACGCGAGAAATTTTCAAGGAAAGAAAAAAATGTTATTTAAAATAACTGGGTACTAAAATAAAATACTGAAGTAAATAACTAAAGTTTAAAATCTGCTTGAAATTATTTTCTCGACTCTTTCTTTTTTTGCTTTTCCAGAAAAAGGGTCCGCGTACAAATTTCTTTCTCGTTGAAATGAATAAATTAACCCTACGAGCGGCGGATAAAGTTGTCTAAAAATATATCGAAAAGGAGAACACCGCTTGTAAGAGAAAGAAGGATGAAAAATCATGAAACGGGAGTGGGAAGGGGTGATCCAGGCGTCTCTGGAAGATGATGCACGAGCTCGCGGGGATGACAGCCGCATCCGGTACTATCCGGGACACACGGAGAAATGCATTTTCTCTCGAGGTTTATTTAACTGCGCCGCGCCAGACGATAAAGCGTCGCCACTGTTTCTCGGCTAATACGTCTTACCACACCCGTTCTCGTCGTGGCTTTCCATTCTTTCCTTTTCCCCTTCGATTCCTCTTCTATTCGCCGCTCGTTCTGACAGCGTTCGAAGCAAGACGAAACACCGTACACCGAGAGGATCCGTACACTGACAGATGCAATTTTTGCTGGATCACTGTAGGGAAAAATTCAATATTCTTTTTATGACATCTCCTCGTGGGCGTAGTACAAAAGAAGAAAAAGAAGAAGAGAAAAAGATTTCGTGCTTGGAGATTACAGTGGTGAACGAAAGTATTTAACTTGATAGTGTACACAGTGGTACACAGTTTTTTAAGCGGAAGTATTTTACATGGAAATGGAAATCAGTAGAAAGTAACATTTATTGACTACAAAATATAGTACAGAATATCTGTGTGTTTCATGTTTCTTTATAAATATAACGTACATACTTTGTAAATACATGTACATTTAATACGAATAGATATATTGTTTCATAATATGCCAGGAACAACATTTATCGATGAACAAAAATTGTAATGTTATTATCAGATTAGATTATTACATCACATTATATATATGTTATATTCTCTATCTATATAGATATATATTAATATCAACTTCACTTCAAAGGATATAACATATATAGACATACTGATATTAACATTGCTTCAAAACATTCAAGAAACAACATTTATATAGTTGAGCAAAAATTATAATCCAATTATCAGATATTATAAACAAAAATTATAGTTTAATTATCAGATCAAATTAATGTATGTAATACATATGGACATATTAATATCAACTTTGCTTCAGAGAGTGCAAACAACAACATTTATAGTTGAGCAAAAATTATAATCCAATTATCAGACATTGTAGACAAAAATTATAGTTCAATTATTAGATTACATTAATGTATATAATACATATGGACATATTAATATCAACTTTGCTTCAGAGAGTGCGAAAAACAGCATTTACAGTTGAGCAAAAATTATAATCCATTTATCAAACATTATAGACAAAAATTATAGCTTAATTATCAGATCATATTAATGTATATAACACATATGGGCATATTAATATCAATTTTGCTTCAGAGAGTGCCAAAAACAACATTTATAGTTGATCAAAAATTGTAATCCAATTATCAGATATTGTGGACAAAAATTATAATTTAATTATCATATCACATTAATGTACATAATACATATGGGCATATTAATATCAATTTTGCTTCAGAGAGTGCCAAAAACAACATTTATAGTTGAGCAATAATGATAATCTAATTATCAGATATTACATTCAGAAATCATAATCTAATTATCGAGTCAAATTACCAAATCGCATTAATATACATATAGACGTATTAATGTCAACTTTGCTTCAGAGAATGCAAGAAACGACATTTATGATATTGGACAAAAATTAGAATCTTCTCCTCCGGATGTCCACGTGTAAGTTTAAA